TACAACTGGGGTAAGGGCTGCACAAGAGCTAACCGTGCCAGAACAATCTGTGAGAAGGGAAAGGTCAGACTCTAAACAGTTGGAGCATTTTCCTCACAGAAAAGAAGATAAAGTGGCTTTTTTAGATGATTTCATTAGTGATGAGGAAGAGCATTTGAGATCTATGCCTTCTGTCTCTCACAAAAAAGAAGATGGGACAGTGTTCTTGGAGGATATTGATGGCCTTAATGATGATCAAGAGCAGCTTAAGAGCACAGCTACATTGAGTCCAATTGAAGATGCAACCAAATCGGAAATGGCGTCTAAAGAAAATGAAACTTCTATCTCATTGAAAGACTCTGAACATACTTCCCCACATAAAGAGCAATGATGTGATGTTTGCTAAAGATGAAGTTAGCAATTTACCATCATAAGAGAGGAAATAACAAGAATTCATTAGTAATATTAATGGCATTTGATCTAGCACATCTGTATGACTTACTAGTAGCAATTTCTTTGTGTTATTCTGTATACTTTTTCATGCTTGTTTACATAGCTTTTACAAATAATTGTTTCTAAAATAATTGCTTCTTTTTCATTATTTTATAACTTAGATGTACAAACAATTTGAAAAGATTCCCAGCAGATATTAAAACCATTTGGTCATTTTGCTGCTTTTGGAAAATAAACAAGCCTTTAAGTTATTTATGCTTGGTAGCTAAATTGAGACGACAATGCTATGCAAGATAAAATATATAGCTCTAACCTTTATCTTCATTTTATGATACTGCACAGGATTTTATTCTAAGTGTAAAATTTTGTTCATCATACGGAGCACATATTCAGCTCACTGTTCTTAATGCTGAAAGATTAGATAATCCATTATTTTATTGTTTTCATGATCAATATAGGGAAAGAGCAATGTAAAGAGACTAAACAGCAATGCACAGCAGAGTACTGTTTAGAATACTGTATATATATTTTCTAACATGGCCTATAACATTAGATTAATCACCTGAAAATATACATACAGTCAGGTTCATGTATATTTTTGACAACGATAATTTATTTGGCATCCCCACATTGAATTTGAAATGAACCACTGAACAAGTGAAGACTTTCAGCTTTAATTCAAGGGGTTTGACAAATGTGTGGCATTAATAATTTTAATACTATTGTATTCAAAACCTTTGAGAACCGGTTTCATGTGGTGGTTGAGGCATCAGGCTAGAAATTGGGAGAGAATGAGTTCTAGTCCCACCTTAATCACACAACCAGCTGGGTGACCTTGGACTAATCACTTTCTCTCAGTCCTAGGAGGGAGGCAAGGGCAAACCACTTCTGAAAAACCTTGCTAAGAAAACTGCAGGGATTATAAGGCTATAAGGCAGGCTCTTTAGTATCGGACATGACTTAAGAAAGAAGGGAAAAATCAAAATTTTACATAGTCTAGTACCATTTAGCAATATTTCTACCAATATTTCCATCTTTACCACTAAAAAACTAAGTGTCTATTCTAAAATGGTCTATTCACTTCAATGAGGTTTGTGTGTGATTTGCAAACTCCATCACTGGAGGTTTTCAAGAAGAGTCCGGGCAGCCATTTATCTGGAATGGTACAGGATCTCCTCTCACGGGCAGGAGGTTGAACTAGAACAGTGGTCGCCAACGTGAGAAAATTTTGGTGGTCTGCAGAGAAATGTCACCCCCAGAGCACCCCCCTCAAAGCAATTAATCCAGGCTGCGCAGGTACACAAGGCTGTGCCGCCCACATGGCCTGCGGGAACCCACTTACTCCTTACCTGGCAAACTTGTCTGCTAAGTTGCTTTTTTTCCCCCCCCCCCCCCCCCATCAGCTGTTCTGCTGTGTTGGGAGATTTAGATTACCTAGAAAGCAGGAAATCGTTGGATTTCTTGCTTTCTAGCTAATCTTTAGATCTTCGGCTCTGCTTCCTTAGGACTGAAGTTTCTATTCAGTGCAGAATCCGGTAGTCGATGGCAGATAGATAGATCTGTGAGTGAATCTGATTCTGTGAGCAACTCAATCTGCCTGCCTGGTTTGCCTGATTTTGGGTAAAAGTTGCTCTTTAAAAATAAATAAATCAATATTTACATACATGGTGTGTTGTGAGTTAATTTTATGAGTTTGCTTGCAAGCAAATTTTATGTGATAGACTCAGGTAGCCAATGGCAGAATGGTAGATCTCTGAGTGAATCTGTGATTCTGTGAGCAACTCAATCTGCCTGCCTGCTTTGCCTGATTTTGGGTAAAAGTTACTCTTTCTTTACAAAAAAATATTTACATATTTATAATATTTACATACTAGCCATGCCCAGCCAGTTACATGGCCACCAAGCAACACCCACAAATTAGGCCACACTCACATAACAGGTTAATAACTGAATCCCACCCCTGCCTCTGTATGTTTGTGTGTGTGAGAGAGAGAGGAAGAGGGAGAGACAGGTTAGATCAGATCTCTCTTTTTCTCTTTCTTTCCCATCAATGTCAGCAAGCCACCATCAGTTAAAATTCATATTAGTGGTCCCTGAGATTTAAAATTATGAGTTGGTCCTTGAGGTCCAAAAGGTTGGCGATTCCTGAACTAGAAGATCTCCAAGATCCCTTCCAATTCTAGTCTTGCTCTCTGTTCTTCTGTTCTAATGTTGGATGCTTTCGTTCTTGCTGAAAATTTGCAAATTTTGGGTAGCTATCTGTGAAAATACCTATCTTTTCCTGGCTCCCATTAACCACAGAGCTGGAGAAATCTAGTCATTATTCTTGCAATAAAAGCTGCTTTGGCAAGGTATGGAAAGCTTTAATGGCAACTACCGATTTCATATTTTGATAATCTTCTGAAATATAGTACATTTCATAAAGGGTTCTTTAAAATGTTTAGAAAGGTCTTAAAATATTGAGCGCTACATGTCATAGTTTCTAATGTGAACTAGCCATTTGTTTCCTGTCCATAAAATATGATCACTAACAAGGCTGTCTTAAGAAAGTGGTTGTGGAAATAAATAAAATACTGCTATTTCTGTCCAATGTATTCATGTGTACACACACATACAGAGAGAGACAGAGAGAGGATAGAAATAGCAATATTATATATGTATGTATGTATGCATGCATATATATATATATATATATATTTGTTTTCGTAGATTTTCACGGGTATAGGTATGTAGGCCTAGGTGTGTTCGGGTCTTTTCCCGTGTAAGATTAAGAGTATCTTGGCGATGTTTCAGCAAGGTCCCACTCGCCATCCTCAGGCTGGTGCTTTCGGCTTTGTGCCAGTGCAAGCAGTGTGTGATTGGAGTTGCTGTCTCTCTAAATACTGGTGGTGGGGGCTGGTGTGCTGGGCTGGTTGGCTGCGCTGCTGCCTCTTGATTGGTTGATGGAGGTGATGTTGGTATAATGGGCTGTGTGATGGCCTTGTGAGTTTTGTTGTGGAGATATCCTGGATCTTGTGCTGTAATCTCCTGGGTCGTTTGCTTTGTAGTGATCTTTTTTCCATTAGCCTCTTGTGTTTTAACGGCTTGGGTAATGGGTTGTGTGAGGGCTTGCGAGTTCTTTTGTTGTGGTATCCTGGGTCCTGCGTTGTAATCTCCTGGGTCATTTGTGTTTTGATCTCTTCCATTAGCCTCCTCTTCCATTAGCCCGGCTTGGTTAATGGGTTGTGTGATGACCTTGTGAGATTTATTGCTGTGGTATCCTTGGTCTTGTGCTGTGGTATCCTGGGTCATATGCTGTGTTGCAATTTCTTGAGTTCTTGTGGTGCAATTTCCTGAGTTTCCCGATGTGATATCCTGAGCGGGTGGCTGTGATGTAGCATTCTGGGTTTTAGTCTGGCTTCGAGTTTGGGGTCTGGGTCTGTGTTCTTGGCATGTGTCAAAGATACAAACAGATAGAAGGAGCACCCATGGGATCACCCCTCTCACCCGTCATAGCAAGCCTATACATGGAAGACTTTGAAATCAACGCTCTAGACAAATCCAAACACAAACCCAAACTCTGGCTCAGATATGTAGATGACACTTTCGTAATTTGGCCACCATGGGAAAGAAAAACTGGACAACTTCCTCACACATCTTAACAACCTATACCCCAAAATACAATTCACCATGGAAACAGAAACCAACAACCAACTTCCCTTCCTGGATGTCCTAATTTACAAAAAAACCAATGGCTCCCTAGGACACACAATCTACCAGAAAAAAACACACACCAACCGCTACCTAAATGCACAATCTCATCACCACCTTGCACAGATCAACTCCGTAGCCAAGGCCCTCATCTCCAGAACCAAACACCTAGCTGACAAAGACCACCTGAGAACAGAACTACACACTCTCACTAACGTATTAATTTCCAACGGATTCCAAAGAAACACTATCACCAATCTAATCTGAAAAGAGATACCCCCAAAAAAACAAGACACAGAACAAGACAAAGGTATCACACTCCTCCCCTACATCAAAAGCACCACAGACAAAATCAGCAAAATTCTCCACAAACACAATATCAGGATAGCCTTCGGCACTGACCAAAAAATAGCTAACATCCTAAGAAACCCCAAAGACAAGTTCCAGCTAGAAAACCAAGGAGTTTATGAAATACCATGCAACAATTGCCCAGCCACATACATTGGACAAACCAACAGGAGAATAAATACACGCATCGTAAAACACAACAACGCAGTCAGAAGAGAAGAAAATACTTCCTCCCTCTTCCAGCACCTTAAAGCCATAGGACATGAAATTAATTTCGAAGGAACCAAATTAATATCCAACACTGAACACTCCAGCAAGAGAATAATCAGGGAAGCCATCGAGATAGAGAAACACCCCCATAACATGAATAGACGGGACAATACCTCCCCCCTACCAGACATCTGGAAGCTAGCCCTCACAAATGAGTCCCAGCCATGTAAACCAACACCAGACCCAAAACAACATGGCACACCACCGCCAATCCCCCTCATCAGACCCAGGCCCAAGCCCATCCTAAAAACGAAGGACAACCACCATGCGGAAAACACCACGGCTGCTTCACCAGCTTTCGCACCCCCCGACCCCAAAACCAAACAAGCTGACACGCCAAGAACACAGACCCAGACCCCAAACTCGAAGCCAGACTAAAACCCAGAATGCTACATCACAGCCACCCGCTCAGTATATCGCATCAGAAAACTCAGGAAATTTTGTATCTTCTCTGATGATTCTGTGGCTGGGGTTTTCTATAGTGGCTAGGGTTTTGGTGCCATTGAAGTTGATGCTATGACCTGTGGCTTCCATGTGTTGGACTAGTGAGGAAGTGTGTTCCAGCTTTTTGACTGCATTTTTGTGTTCATCCATATATGTATATGTATATATATGTATGTATGTGTATATGTATATGTGTGTGTGTGTGTGTGTGTATATGTATGTATGTATATATATATATATATATATATATGCAGTATTGATCCAAAATCACATCAAACCGACTTCACCACGTTCAATGTTTTTAATTGTTTTGTTC